TTTGATACATATTTAATTTACTCCTTTGAAAATATTTTCATGCATAAAGCAAATTTTCAACAAAAAAAATTATATAAAACATTCTTAATTAAAATGCAATGACTGCATGCCATACATTTTAAGGTAACATTAATGTTCATGATTTACTTTAATGTTTATAATTTCATTGTATTATTTTCATTATTCTTTTATGTAATGATTTGTTGGTATATTGGTAAATAATATAGTTAAATTTATTTTATTAAATGACTGATAAATGGTTTTATGAATTTATTAAAAATAATCTGCTCAACCGTTGATCAGGGGAATATTAATAATGGTAGTACTGTTTTAGATAATTTATTATTAATTAGCTTAATTAATAAATGGGAATACAATGTTATTATTAGAAATATGCTAATCAAATGATTTTTGTAAGTGTAAATTTGTTTATTAATTAGAAATATTCATAGGTACCTAAATAATAGTTGGTTATCATTCGGTATTACTTTTTTCTTTCTTAATATTATGATTATAAACCATATACCTCATAATATATCAATATTCAAACTATTTAATAAGAAAGCAAGCATTAAAAGTATGATTTCGTAAAAACGCAGAATATAGCGTGATTATCAACAAACTCAAATGTGCAAAGCAAATTCATGCAAACATGATAAGATCTTACCTGGGACGGGTTGACAATATGTGAATGGATCTCCATTAAATCCGTTATTGCAAGTGCACATTGGAGTGTGATTAATAACAGAACATGCAGCATTTGAGCCACATGAACCAGGACAAGGATCGGTACATTTTTGATTTATACATGATAAATGACTAGGACACTCAGGATTAATTGTACATTCAGGTCTACATGAAGGTGGTGTTCCCACATAATTTGGCAAACATGAACATGCTGGCGCTCCTCCGCGATCTCTACATTCAGAATTTGGTCCACAGGGTGATGGCACACAAACATTAATTGGGTCATTAGGTGGTAATGGTTTAACTTCTATATTAAATAAATTAGTGTTAGTAAAAAAATTTAAAACAATTCAATTTATTGAGAATTACCTTGTACAGGATAACAACTTCTGAACGGATCTCCACTGTGACGTGGAGGGCAAGTACAAATCGGACTATGGTTTACCACTTTACAGTTTGCAAGATGACCACACGTTCCAGGACATGGATCACGGCATTTATTCATGAGACATGCTTGAGTTAAAGGACATTCTGCACTAACAACACATTCTGGTCGACATGATGGTGGTGATCCTATCATGTTGTTATGACATGAACATACGGCATGTCCTTCAACTACTCGACAAACGCTGTTAGAACCACATGGAGATGGATTACATGGATCTCTAGATGGTTCATCTATAAATATGTTTAATAAATTGTTATTTGTTTTTAATTTTTTATTTTATTTAAGATTTAATTCATACCTTGAATTTTAATTGGTCTACAAATAACAAACGCATCACCCGCAGTTCCAGGTGGGCAACTACATGTTGGAATATGATTAATAACATCACATGTGGCTCCTTGACCACAAGTGCCTGGACATGGATCTTGACATTTTTGATTCAAACAGGCTTTATTTCTTGGACAATCTGTGTTCATTGTACACTCTGGACGACAACCTATTAATGGATCTCCGAAATAATTGGTTAAACATCTACAAATGCCATTGTTGCACTGAGTATTAGAACCACACGGTGATGGATTGCATGGATCAGTTGGTGTAGTTGGTATCGATTGTACTAAAAATATTTTTATTTTGTTATTAAAAGAAAATTGTTGTATGCAATATATAATATATATAATATATTTATAAATAGGTAATTACGTACCTATTATTGGTATACATTGCGTAAATGGATCACCAGTGTGTCCAGAAATACATGTACAAGTGGGTATATGATTTTGAACTCTACAATCTGTGTTCAAACCACAAGAACCATAACATGGATCCCTACATTTATCTGATATACAAGATAAAGTAGAAGGACAGTCGGAATTAACGGCACATTCTGGACGACAATTTGGTGGAGAACCGATAAAATTGGTTCGACATGAACATGATGGTTGATTTCCAATTGGTCTGCATTCAGAATTTGGTCCACAAGGAGATGGAACACATGGATTTGTAGGTATCACTGGCTCATCTAATGGTTTTACTATGGGGTACATTCCATTGAAATATGAATTAGTGACTTAAATTAAAAATAAATAGGACTATTTAAAAATATTGAAGAAAAATTATTGAATTTATATGAAAAGAAGATAAGGCTAAATCAATTGGAATTAAAGAACTTAATAATAATGTAAGATAACACAACACTATAAATAATTTATTGTACCTGGTTGCGGATAACATCTTGTAAATGGGTCACCAATTAAACCAGGCGAACATGTACATATAGGATTATGGTTGATGACTTCACAGCGAGCATTTATTCCGCATGTTCCAGGGCAAGGGTCGGTACATTTATATTTGTGACAAGCTCTGTTTGATGGGCAATCATTGTTTATTACACACTCCGGTCTACAATTAGGTGGCGTTCCTTGGTATTCTTTTTGACAAGAACACACTGCTTGTTCATTTACACTTTTACATTGACTGTTGGGACCACATGGTGATGGATTACAAGGATCATACACAGTTGCTTGAGTTGCTAATTAAAATAATTTTAAAAATTAAAAACAATCATTTATGAAAAGTAAATAAATATTTAATATTTTACTTGGGGGTTGAGGTTGACAATATGTGAATGGATTTCCAATATAACCAGGTAAACAGTTACAAGTCGGTACATGACTAATTACTGTACAAACAGAATCTATTCCACATACTCCGGGACAAGGATCCATACATTTATTTCCAATGCAAGCTTTATTTGTTGGACAGTCTGAGCTATGAATACATTCTGGTCGGCAACCTTCATATGGATTTCCATAATAGTCATTAATGCAAGAGCAAGAACCAGCTCCATTTTGTTGTTTACATATAGCGTTTGGTCCACATGGTGATGGTTCACATGCATTTAAATCTTCTATACATTTAAGACACAGTTAACGATGTATTTTTAATAAACTCTATATACTGAATTTACCTTGCAAAATAACGCATTGAATGAATGGATTTCCAGTATATCCTGCTGGGCAAAGACATGATACCGCATGATTGACTACTTGACATTGTGCTTCGCTGCCACACGACCCTGGACATGGATCTCTACATTTGTTATTGATACAAGCGAGATTTGATGGACAATCTGGGTTAATTATACACTCCGGTCGACAATTTGGAGGAGCTCCAATGTATGATGTTAAACAAGAGCATGATGGATTATTTCCAGAAGATAAACATTGGGAGTTAGGACCACATGGTGACGGGACACAAGGGTTTCTAGGAGGATCGTTTTGAGGCGGTATTATTGGTTCTAAAAAAAAAATAGTAATTATTGAATTTATTAATTTGTTTAAAATCATTATTTAATTTTTTTATTTTTACTTGGTATGGTATAGCAACTTCGGAATGGATCCCCAGTTTGGCCTTCTCTACAACTACAGATTGGACTATGGTTAATAACTTCACATCTAGCTCCAGATCCACAAGCACCCATGCATGGGTTGATACATTTCAGATTTACGCATGCTTTATCTGGACTACATTCTGAGCTAACTGTACATTCTGGACGACATGATGGCGGTGAACCTATGTAATTTGGTAAACAAGAACATGTTGCATGATTGTTTGAATTTCGGCATTGGCTGTAAGGGCCACAAGGTGATGGATTGCACGGGTCACTTGATACAGGGACATCTAAATAAAATAACAATTGGTTAAAGTTCAAATAGAATATTATCATACCGAGTTAAAATTATAATTTTACCCTCTGGAATGGGACGACAGATTGAGAATGGATCTCCAGAATATTTTGTAGGACATGAACAAATCGGAATGTGGTTTACTACATCACAATTTGCTTCTTGTCCGCATGTTCCAATGCATGGATCGCGACATTTATTTCTCATACAAGCTTTGTCCCTAGAGCACTCAGTATTCAATACACATTCTGGACGACAATTTTCATAAGGGTTTCCTGTATACTCAGGTAAACATTCGCAATTTCCATTTCCTTTACATATAGCATTTGGTCCACAAGGTGATGGGTTACAAGGATCTGAAGCTAATGGTCGTTCGGTAGCTATAAAAAAATAAGTTTCAATTAATTTATTTATTATGAAGAAAAAAGCTTAAAATTAGAAAACAATAATACTAGACTAGAATAATAACTAGCATCTTATTGTCTCACAAATCTACCCAGTAAATTAATATTACCATCGAATTTTAATAGTTTTAAGACTAAATGTTTTTTTTACTTACTTATTTGTATTTGTGTACAAAGGCTGAAGGGATCACCGGTGTGGCCAACATTACAAGTACAAATTGGAACATGGTTTAATACATGACAATTTGCATTTAATCCACATGAACCAACACAAGGGTCACGACACTTCTGATTTATACATGCCAGTTGACTTGGGCATTCTGCACTTATAACACATTCAGGTCTGCAAGACGGTGGTGAACCAATAAAATCACGTAAACATGAACACGCTGGCATTCCATTTTGTATTTGGCATTGTGAGTTAGGTCCACAAGGTGTTGGGTAGCACGATGGCGGACGTTCAGTAACTGGAGGTGTTGGTGTTGTAGCTAAAAATTTAATTTTTTGTTTTATAATTTTGTTAGTCGATTAAACTCAATAAGAATTGTTGTTCTTACGTATCGGAGCACATTGTAAAAATGGATCTCCCGAATATCCAGCTGGACACGCACAAATCGGATTATGATTTCTCACCGTACATAAGGCTTGAATACCACAAGTATTTGGACATGGATCCAGACACTTTTGATTTGTACAAGCTTTGTCCAAAGGACATTCTGAACTAACAACGCATTCGGGTCTACATTCTGGTGGACTACCCATGTAATTGGGCAAACAAGAGCATACAGCTTGATCATTAACCTTACGACACTGACTGTTTGGCCCACACGGAGATGGATGGCATGGGTCAATTGGTTCTCTTTGAGTCGCTATAATAAAATTAATACAATTTTAAATACAATTATTTCTACATTGGGTAATACAATTTAAAATACTCACGAATAACTGGTATAGGGCGACATGAGTAAAATGGATCACCAGTATATGATGGTGGGCAAGAGCAAACAGGTATATGTTTTACAACGGTGCATATTGCCTCAGAACCACATGTTCCTGGACAAGGGTCAATACATTTATAACCAATGCAAGCCAAAGCGAGATTACAATCATCATTATTTTCACACTCTCTTCGGCATCCTGTATATGGGTCGCCGAAAAATCCTGTAGAACACGTACATGCAGCTACTCCATTTCGGTTGATACATTCTGAATTGGGACCACATGGTGATGGATAACAAGGGTCAACAGCTTCAGGTGATCTTTCAGTAGCTAAATAATTCAATACAAATATGTTGGTCTACATGCGTTGGAACTAATAAATATAAGATGTATTTGATATTTTAAAAACTAGTTTAACAAAACTTAAAACTATTGAGGTTGAGTTAAATTATTTTGTAAGTTTAAATTGTACATAGTAGTCATTGTTCTTACAAGTAGGCAACAGTTGGCAATATGTAAGGGCGTCCCCAGTATAACCTGGTAAACAGGTACAAACTGGGTTGTGATTGATCACTCTACAATGCGCATATTGTCCACAAGATCCTGGGCATGGATCAGAACATTTTTCGTTGATACACGCCAAATTACTCGAACATTCAGCGCTTATTACACACTCAGGCCTACAGTTGGGCGGTCGACCAATGTAGTTCGGTAAACAAGAACATGCAGCTGTATTGCTTACAACTCTACACTGAGAGTGAGGTCCACAAGGTGATGGAACACAAGGGTCTGTAGGTGGCGAGGGAGTAGTTGTGGCTATAGTGGTAAAAAGAAAAAAA